ATGTGAGAGATTTTAGGGGACAGACTGAACATTTGGGGACAGAGGGAGCATTTGGGGACATGGGAGGTTTTTGGGGGCAGAGAGAAGATTTGGGGGTATGGGAACATTCGGGGGTCAGCGGAACATTTGTGGTTACTGCAGCCCTTTGGGGACAAAGGCCCATTTGGGGCTGGGGGCGACGCACGGGGGCAGAGGGATGCTCAGACCCAGGCTGTCGTGTGGGGCCGAGGAGGGGGGTTGGGACATTTGGGGACACGTGGGGTGACGTGGGGGTCCTTGCAGGTGAACGGCAGCGAGACGACGGTGGTGGCCTTCTTCATCATGCCAGCACGCACCAACAACTTCAACGTGGAGTCCCTGAAGGGGCAGGCCGTGCGAAAACAGCTCTGGTGGGATCCCCCCCCCATGGGGATGGGGACCCTCGGGGACATCTGGGGACCCCCAGTGCTGATCCCCCCCCCCCAAACCTCCCCCAACAGGGACACAGCCAACGCGGTGAAGGAGAAGTTTGGGAAGAAGCTCTATGAGTCGCTGCTGGTGTAAGTGGGGTGGCATTGGGGGGTGGGAGGGGGGCAGCGGGGGGGACGTGGGGGTCACCTGCTGGGGGGTGGCCCTAACGGGACCCCCCGGCTGCAGGGGGAACCTCCCTGACATGAACAAGATGTTGGACCGGGAGGATTTCACCATGATGAAACGCGCCATCTTCGCCACGCAGGTGGGTCCCCACGTCCCCATTATTGGGGTCCCCAACGTCGGGGTCCCCACATCCCCACTCTTGGGGTGTCCCCAATGCTGGGGTCCCCGTGTTCCCAACGTTGGGGTCCCCCTGTCCCCAGTTCCTGGGTCCTCGTGTTCCCATTGCATGGCTTCCCATGTCCCCATGTCCCCCAGTTCACAGCAAGCCCCCCAGGTCCCCATGTCTCCCATGTTTGGGTCCCCATATCCCCCAGAGCCCAGTTCCCCACATTCCCAATACCTGAATTTCCATGTCCCCTATGTCCAGGTCTCTCGTGTCCCCAATTCTCAAGTTCTCCATGTCCCCTATGTCCAGGTCTCCATGTCCCCAAGTGCCTGGAGTCCCCAGGTCCCCATTTCCCCAGTGCCTGGGGTTCCCTTTGTCCCCAGTTCTCAGGACCCCCGTGTCCCCTGTGTCCAAGTCCCCACATCTGCAATGTCCGAGACCCCATGTCCCCAATGCCTGGGGTCCCCAGGTCCTTCATGTCCCCAGTTCTTATGTGCCTCATGTCCCCTGTGTCCAAACCCCCATGTCCCCAATGTCTGTGTCCCCCAGGTCCCTCATGTCCCCAATTCTCAGGTCCCCCACGACCCTGATGCCTGGGGCCCTTAGATGCCCATGTCCCCAATGCCTGGAGCCCCCAGGTCCCCATGGCCCCAGTGCCTGAGTCCCACAGGTCCTTGTGTTCCCAAACCCCCATGTCCCCAGTGTATGGGTCCCCATGTCCCCAATGCTCCCATGTCCCCAGTGTGTGGGTCCCCATGTCCCCAATGCTCCCATATCCCCAATGTTTGGGTCCCCATGTCTCCAGTGCCAGGTTCCATTGGTCCCCAACATCCCCAGCACTCAGGTCCCCGTGTCCCCAAATCCTGGCTCCCTCATGTCCCCAATGTCCTACTGACCAACATCCCCATGTCCCCAATGCCTGGGACCCCACATCCCCACTGGTTTGGGTTCCCCATCTCCCTCACATCCCCAAAGCCGGGATCCTCCACGTCCTCAGTGCTCCATTCACCAATATTCCACCCCTCCCCACCCCCTCCCCCCCCCCAGCGCCAATCCTTCCCCCCCGTCTGCACCCACAACATGTTGGACGATGCCACCGACCCCATCCTCACCACCATCCGCCGCATCGGGCTCTTCAACAGCGGCAACGACCGCGTGAAGGTGGGGGGACATTGGGGATGGGGGACATTGGGGGTGGGGGACATTGGGGGTGGGGGACAGCAAGACCCCAGGGGGCTTTGGGATGGGGGACATTGGGGATGGGGGACATTGGAGATGGGGGACAGCGGGACCTTG